GTGTAGCCCTGTGATAGACTGGCGACCTGTCCAGGGTGTCCCCTGCCTTCACCCTGAGTCGGCTGGGGTAGACTCCAGCCCCTCCTGCAACCCGAGTGAGGATTAAGCGGTGTATAGATGATGGATGGATTTTTAACAGCGAACTTTATGGTGTCAATTACCTAACAGGCAGTTCGTAGACATATCTGACTTGCTTCCTCAGTGCTCAACGTCTGTAAAAGACGATAGGCATCTTGTGGTCGTATGTTGTAAGAATCAAAACTCCACTGATACTTCCTGCCGCTTCCACCAATCTATTTTTATGTTACTGCTTTAGCACAACCCTCAGAACAAGATAAACTTTTGTTTCCACGTGCAGATTGACTGACTCACTGTTGCATGTAAGCAACACTTGACAGCAGGTTGCGTGAGCCGACCAAGTGTTGTCATAAGCTGACCACTCAGACTTTTATCTGTCACGCTGTCACATGGCCTGAATCAGACAAAAGCACAGTTTGGAAAATGCTGGTTTGTACTCTTTCAGTGTGAGAGATCGACTGTCTGCATATAAGTAGAGAAAACAGACAGATTAAGATCATGCACTGGTGCATTTTACAAGCTTTTTCACTTCTTCACACCTATAAAATCCTTAAAATAAGAATAATATTGACACATTTGCCTGGAAATGAACTCAGCATAATAAACCATAGTCTTTTCTGATAAATGCTTGAAGCAAATATAGCAAATATTATTTGTTTTCAGCTTCCCAAATATGAATATTTACTGGATTTCTTCAACTTGGACAAACTAAACAATGTGAAAATGTCACTTTGGGCTTGAGGTAGTTATTCATTTACTTTTGATATCTATTTTTCTATATTATTTGTTTCAATAAACACGAGATTTATTGTTATGTGTGTTGAACTATCACCAGTTTCTCTGTTAAGTATTTATTTCAAGTCCCATATGTTGTTAAATTTGACCATTAAGACAACATGGAAGCAGCTTGTGAGCTTGCACATATGATGGCAGTATATACACCGCTATGGACACCAGTTTCAGTGAGTGTACGTACCATTTTCGTACGTCAAAGTAAAACTGGAACCTTTATTTGCCACATATCCAATTTTACCGACGTTAGAGGCCTCAAATGCTGACCAAAGACTGTATTTTTACTAAGAAACAGGAATACATCCATATATATACACTTACAGGAACTTTCTGAGGCCCCAATACAGGCCGAGGTTTAAATTTAGCACTTTTTTTCTTTTTTCGTGAGGGGGGAATGGAAAGATTAGGCCTCTGCTGGAGCCATTTAATCATTTAATCTGCTGTATTTTCATTAAATGTCAATGGCTTCCAATGTTTTGTTAAGGGTGAGTGCAATAAATTATAAATTCTCAAAATTCATTCAAAACATTTCACAGAGTTAAAGCCCAACGTTCACTTTTTCAGTCAAAACTGCACTGATACTTCCTGCCACTTCCACCAATCTATTGCTACGTTTCTGCTTCAGCAGAAAGCGGTGTATAGATAATGGATGGATGGATAGATGGATGATGATGAACCATCCATTATCTATACGCCACTTAATCCTCATTAGGGTCACAGGGGGCTGGAGTCTATCCCAGCTGACTCAGGGTGAAGGCAGGGGACACCCTGGACAGGTCGCCAGTCTATCACAGGGCTACACTTAGAGACAGACAACCAAGCACACTCACATGTTTTTCATGTTTTTGGACTGTGTGGGAGGAAGCCGGAGAACCCGTAGAGAACCCACGCTGCACAGGGCTGAACATGCAAACTCCACACAGAAAGATCCCGGTGCCCCCATCGGGACGCAAACCGGCAACCTTCTTGCTGCGAGGCAACAGTGCTACCAACTGCGCCACCCTGCAGCATGATGATGATAATAATAATAATAATAATAATAATAAGAAGAAGAATAATAATAATAATAATAATAATAATAATAATAATAATCATCATCATCATCATCATAATGAAGATGATGATGATGATGATTATTTTAAATAGATTCAAATAAAATCCACACTTAAGGAAAGTCTTGAGTTTGCTTTTAATAATATCACCATTTTCTGCTCCAAACTCTTCTAAAAATATTCTAGAGCGCTGCAATAGCAACAATGACACAATTTAAATATATATACATATATATATATATATATATATTCAAAACAACTGTATCTTCAGCAGCCTATGTATATTGTAAAACAAAGCTATATAAATTCATCAGGGTCCAGTAGTAGAGATTTAAAGTTAAAGCTGTGAAACGTGATCAGTTCGTGCATATTCCTCTCATTATCCGGCCTGATGAGCTCCTGGTGGATCGAACCATGAGCTCCGGGAGACTTCCGGTCACTTGATAGATTCATTTTGTGAGTTTCCTCCAGCTGTGGGCTCTTAAACTGCTGAAGCGTCTCCACAGAGAGGTGCGATGGAGGATGTGGACGAGGGGGCAGTAAAGGGGTCATGTGGTGAAGGAACAGCTGATCCTTGTGCATTCCACGGCTGCTTAGCGCTGAGGCCTGCCGCCCTCGTGCCTCTGTGAACTGTTGCCGTCCTACGAGTCCCAGAAGGCCTTGCAACCAAAACACACAGCGTGCACAAACCTGCGGACCACACACTGTTTATGCGACACACACTCAGTCTATTAGCGGTGCACATGCATAATTTACACATCCTGCCTCGGCTGTAATGGACATGAGAGACCTCCACTCCAAACTGTCTGCAATATCTCTGAACGGAGCTGCTTCATCATACAAAGAGAGTAAGAACATGTAAAAAAAAAAACCTCAAAAGATTTCCATTCTGGCAGTGGAAGGTAATTTCCTGCTGCTCCTCCTCACATATTTCACTCTTCAGCGGCTTTACATGTGTCAGCGACGAGCAAAGTCAGCAGAGAGATGAACACATCATGTCTTATCTCTGGCAGATGTTGCAGCTAAACAAACATCCCTGACCTCTTCATCACTGACAGTCACTTTTTTTTTTTACTTCAAAAGTGCATTAAGGATTGTTGACATCTGTTCAGGATATTCTTGGTTAACATTGATGTCAAACCTTTAGTTTCCTCTCAGCAGCCACTAGATGGCAACAAACCTTTAAAATTGATGAACTTAACCTTCACAAATGAAGCCCCGAATTATTCATATCCATGCCATATTTAGCTTGACAGTGAATAACATTAACAGCTAACATGGCTCTTTTGGGCTAAAATGACACAAAGAAGTGACAAAAGAAGCTGAGACGTTACCTGAGACATGCTAATAATAAATTACAGAATACAGAAAGCTTTGATTGCCAAGTGAGCTGGCACACACAATTTGACATGGTGAATGAAACTGTGGTGCACAACAACAACAAAACGGGCAATAAATATAAAAATCTAAATCTAAAAAATTCTAAATAAAACAACAAAATAACTATTTCTTTTAACATTTTCACTAACACCAACATTTCTAGCACAACATCTTAGCATCTTCTGTCGCTTGTTTAAGTTATTTCCAGCCAAATGAAACAAAATGGACAGATAGAACTTCAATATTTTTACCTTTTCAGTTTTTTCACTTGTTCAGGTGAATTCCGTATTTCCTGACAGCTATTGAACACAGCACCGTAGAACTGGGTGGACTCCTATTTAAAGCAGCTGTGGCTTCATGGCTGCCTTTTGTCTCTGCTTGCACATGAGCTCTTCTGAGGTAAGTGATTTGGACAGGATTTCTTTAAGGTTGTTGCCGGTTTTTTAAAGATTTGGTTCATGCAGATGCACGTAGTGATGAAGGTGCATTTGTCTCATCATGCTGGTGTGTGTTTGGCTAAAGTTTGTAACATCAAAAGTTTGTGTTTTGCCTTCAATGTGGATTCTGCTAGGGTATGGGAGTAAGAAGGGTAAATCAGAATCAGAAAGGTTTTATGGCCAGGCAGGTTTTCACATACAAGAAATTTGGTGTACAGTAAAATAGATTTAAAAAAAAAAAAAAAAGTGTTGGCAGTCAGGAGGCAGTGTTATGTTTGACGTATGCTGTTATTGTGTAAAGTGTTTTCTGTTTTGTACTGAAGGTTTTTATCGGCTGCCTCTTTCCTTAGCTTTGCTTTGATAGCCTTGGTTTTGTATTTTTTCCGATGGAGCAAACTGGTTGTTAAACAGAGTTAAATGATTGTAATTAATCTGTTTGGTGCATTTTTTTGTAGATCTGATTTAAAATATACAATTTATTTATACACACACACACGACAATGACAATGCAATTTATTCTTGATAAAGTGTATATCTTCTCAAAACTTTAATGATATCACAATATACATATATACATATCACAATAAAAGTTAAACCACAATTAACTTTTGCAAACTGTGAATTCAGGCTTAAACTAAATGAACAATGAGCCCCCATGCAGCCCATGACAAATCATGCTTTACATTTAACATTTGGGCAAAGTAAAAACTTAAGATTAATGCATTTAAAACTTCAAGTTTCCTTAAACTCCTCACTAAGGCCTCCCAGCAAAATCTAAATAATTCCCTCCAAACTCCAGAGGGCTGTGCCATGGAGCAAGTTTGACATAACAACCAGACTTGTGTACGTCGGCTCAACTGAAACTACAACCCCAGTCAGAGATAACAGGTATCGGAAGGTGGTTCTCAACTGTCTTTGTTCAGTTTTTTTTTTTTTTTTTTAAGCTTCTGTACGCATTCACGTAAAAGAAGACGTTTAACACATCATGTGACTCTTTTGCACAAAATGGACTCGATAGTGTCTTGCGTAAGTTACATGGTGACCTAGCAGGTTAAGAGAGCCACCTTCATGATCCTAAAAACTCTGACTTTGACCTCCAGCAACATACCTGCTACCCCTCTAATCTCCCTTTTTCTTGTTGTAATAAATAGTTGTAAATATATTGCATAACCGCTCATAGTCTTTGAAGTCTTGCATCAAGGTTTCAATGCAGATATCTTGGCTAGGTAGCCAGGTGGACAAACTCCATCCATTCCATCAGCAGAAATAAATGGGTCGTTCATCCCGAGGCAAAATAATAAGCATTTTGGTGCTGCTTTGGTGTGTTGTTCCTGGGAACTACGTTCCACCTGGTTGGCAGTCTCCCAGGTGAAGCCTGAGAATGCCCTGACTGTGCAGCTGCAGCAGGAGCTCAAACTCAGTCGGCATGGCGTGGAATCCAGCTTTAACTTGCCTGTCGTCGTAGTAGTGATTGGTGAGGTTGTGAAAACTAAACGGGTGGGTGCTGAAGGGCCAGAATCCGTACAGATGAACGTCGTCGCAGAGCTCCAGCGCTAGACTGGCCATGATGATGCCGGTGCTGAGTCGAGCCGACTTTAGGCCCTGAGAGCGCCAGAACAGGGCCAAACTCTGGAGGTACTCGGGGTTTAAGAAGACTGGTCTGATGGGGATCTGAAAGTCCTCGATGGCATAGAAGGCCCGCACAGATGCAGGAGTGTAGAAGGCAAAGGAAAAGGCAGAAATCAGCAGCAGGGAGTTTCCATAGCTGCGCAGACTCTCCACAAATTGACGACGGCGTCCAGACAGAGCCCCGTACCTGTAAATAAAGAGCTGATGTATAGCAACAATATAAAGGGAATAATATGTATTTAAGAGGACAAAGATTAGTTTTTTTTGCGTACTTATCAAAGAAGATACTCGGGTTTGCTGTCACAAAGTCAGTCTTGATACCAACATGTTTCTCGTATCCATTTTCCAAAGGAGGGAGGTTGCACCTGAACAAACAGCAAAGAAAGTATTGTTATGTGGACTTCCCACCTTGTTTTGTTTAACACCGTCATCAGCCCTTCAGTCCTGTACGCTGGACGTCTTTCTCACCTCATGACAAACTGAGCCGAGTCAATCGTTTTTCCACAGCTGCTGTTGGTCAGGATCCCACCGTTCCCAACAACTGCACAAGTGTCCCATGTTTTGTTTGAGAAAGGATTCTCCTGGAACCAACAACAACAGAAACTACATTACAACATGGCAACATTTACAGTAAGTGTCATTTTGTGTGTGTGTGTGTGTGATGCTTTTTCATCTTTTATCAAAATGTACAAAAACTGGCCTAATTTTTGCACTTTAGTCAGTCGATCAAGTCAGTTTTAAAACATGCTACATAAGAACTTGATTTAAGCGAATAACTTTATCTGCCTACCTGTACATCTATAAGTCATCAAGTCGTATGTGTGCATATCCATATGTAAATTCATTATGCCTTGAACATTGTCTTGAAAAATGTAAAGTTTGAAAGTCTTTGGTTTGCCAGTGAAGTCACACTGAAATTCCTGAGACGGTTGAGGAAATGGTAATCTGATGTGGTACCCTGAGACATTTATGATTGTACTTATTATAATTCTTGTCCCTCTTCGTCCATGCCTGTGTATTCAGCTGCTGTAACGTGGAAATTTCGCTAGTGAGGGATCAGTAAAGTTTATGTTATTATTGGTTGGTCCATTCCCCATTTCAGCTCAGTCCTTTAGATCGATTGCTTAAAAATGTAAAAATTCCCAGTGTTTAGTATCAATGAGTTAAAGTTTCTATGCAAACATCTGAATTGGGATGGTACCACAGGAGGATCAATAAATCAATGTATTTTGTATCATCTGGCTTTTATAAGTAGAATGCAATGCATTTATCCCCTGAGTTCTATATGAAGAACTCTCTTGATTAGATTATCTGGCAAGATCGCTGCTGTTGTTGTTGTTGTTGTTGTTGTTGTTGTTGTTGTTGTTGTACAACTTGTCACACCTGCTTGATCAGCAATGAAAATTAAACAAAATGTGTTTTTTCATTGTTGTAGTCAAGCACTTAATCGGAAATGACTTTGACAAGCTAAAATCTCACAAATATCTATAAATCATATTTATAAAATTAGAGATGGTTCAGCAGAAATTGCTCTAAACTTTTCATGATTTTACATGGAATGATGCAGATGGGCCAGGAAGTCTCAGGTCCGAGTTTGTGAGCTCCTTCACTTTCAATAGACCACACTGCAAAGTCGTGTTTATCAAAGAGACCAAACAGATGACTCGCTTCAAGAACAGTCAAGACATCAAACAGGCAGCAGGTCCTGTATTCATGAATGACAAATAACAAACCTTCATAAACAAGCTGAAGAGCTCTGGAGTCACCTGCCGAGTATTCTTACTGTCGGAAAGAATCTTTGATCCCACTGGTTTGTTGGTCTGGGTAATTATGGCGCT